GACTCACACTGGGGGTTACTCCTCCTTCCAGCTGCTGGTTTGTGTGAAAGGAATGCAGTATCTCTAAGACTTCTACCTTACTGCTGGAGCACCTCCCGTATGAAGACAGGCTGAGAAAGTTGGGGCTGTTCAGCCTGGAGAAGAGAAGGCTGCGTGGAGACCTCATAGCAGCTTCCAGTATCTGAAGGGGGCTACAAGGATGCTGCAGAGGGACTCTTCATTAGGGACTGTAGTGACAGGACAAGAGGTGATGGATTCAAACTGAAACAGGGGAAGTTCAAGTTAGATATAAGGCAGCAGTTCTTTACAGTAAGGGTAGCGAGGCACTGGAATGGGTTGCCCAAGGAAGCTGTGAATGCTCCATCCCTGGCGGTGCTCTAGGCCAGCTTGGACAGAGCCTTGGGTGACATGGTTTAGTGTGAGGTGTCCAGGAAGGTTGGAACTGGATGATCTGAAAGTTCTTTCCAACCCTAACTATTCTATGACTTTATGATTCTATGATTCTAAATTTTGCTGCAACTGGCTGAAGTTACCAGGCAGAGGAGTGATGGATAAACATATGACTATATTACCAAATGCTGATGTGAACAAATGAACTTTATCCTTAGGCTAAAAATTCCTTTTCTCTAAACCACTCCTGGCTGATGTCTGGTTTACAGCTTCTCATCCAAAAATAAAATAAAATAAATTATTCCAGAGGGAAGCAATTGGATGGAAGCCACAGAGCAAATGTCCTTCCACTCTGGATTTGCCAGAGCCACTGGGGAAGGATGCTTGCAGGATTAGACAGTCAGCAACACGTCCAGGACTCAGAGCTGGAAGAGATGAGAAAGCAGACTCTTTCAAAGGTCCAGAGGGATGCTGCTTTTTCTCCGAAAGTCCTGCTGGCATGCTACATTAGCTGTGGCTGATAACAGAAGGTCAGAGCTGCAGCAGGAGGATGTCCAAGTGACCTCTGAGTAATGGTAATGGAAGGTCCAGGAGGAAACACAGAGGAAGGCAGAGTTAGTGCCTTGACACTGGGTGTCCAGAAACAACACCGACTATTAAAATAACAAACATATAGTTGGGTTAGAGGCTAGACATTGTAGAAACAGGAGGGATCTGATCTGAAAGCTGCTTGATAGTGACTGGATCTGCCTTTCAATGGGAAAAGTGTCAGTGGCCTGGCCCAAACCAAGAACTATGGGACTGAACTGAGTTGAAGTCAAAGGCTGAGGGCAGAGGAGGATCTTTTCTTCCTTGCACCAACACTAACATTTTCCTGGAGAAACATCAGATGGTTCATCCTCTGTCTTGGTTTGGACTGACAGTCAGCACTGGATGGAAGAGAATAAAAATCCAGTATTGCCCACTGATGATCACACTGAGACACTGGCTTATGGTAACAGATAACACAGGGAGGCAGGGTGAAGGAAACCAGAACTGGAAACCCCATACAGGGATTTTTGCAAAGAACTGCCTGGCGTGCCAGCTTCCTGCATCACATCATTTTCAGGCTGGGACTGTGACTGCCCTGCAGCCTCCACTTGCAGGATACCTGCATCTGCAGGAAAATTTTTCATTTAGAGTAGGAAAACAGAAGAAGGGGAACTTCCTTCTTGAAAACAGGTGACAGATGCTACCAAGGTGAAGCCTGAGAAGCAAAAGATGGCTTTCCCTTACTTTCTTGCAGTAAACTAAAGCTGAAACATCCATCAACAATGGGCCTGGGAAAGGGGCAGTCTGGAGTGGGAGAGGCACTTAATCAAAATGATTATGATTAGGAACGCAGCACCAGGACGTGTCTCAAGATTCATAGGTTATTTCCAGTTCTGCCACTTACCTATTGTGTGACCTCTAGCAACTCCATTAGTTTTTCCTTGACAGGTCCTCTCTTGCTCTTTTCCTGTCTTATCTACTAGATCACAAGCTGTATTTTTCCCCCTCAGGCACGACCTCACAGACTAAACTTGTTTAAACAAGATGTCCTGATTCTGCATGGGGCTTCCTGTGGTTGCTGCCGCACATATGAGAGAACTACGCGCTAACGGGGACCTCACTTTCGATACATTGATGTCTTGCAACCAGCCACAAGCTTGCAGGCTGTGTCTCTGCTTAGTTCAAATGAAAACACACCATCTGTAAAATGGGCTCTGCCTACAGGGAGTTTAAGGAAGGCTCAAACAGAAGCTCCTCCTACAAAGAGTGCTATAGCAGCTGAAAGCACCATTAGCAGTGAGACTGCTCTTCACATTCAGAATGAAACCCCATAAATCTTCTGGTTGGGAGCAGCTGCTTGGCCGGTTAATGTGTGAAGCCACTTTACCGCATGTCCCTGAGAAAGTTCAGAATGGGCACAATCACAGCACACCACACTGCCACACGCACGTGTACATCACAGCCCAGGGCCAACAAGGGGAAAGGGAGCAGATCCTCTTCTCCATTTCTGGCACGTTGCTGCTCCAGCCTCTGGTGGGCAGTTTCCCAGATGGAGCGAAAGAACCAATTTTACTCTGACTCCTATGAAAAGCAATTCTAATCCCTTTGTACAAGAAGTAAATGAAGAATATTATGATCACTATTAGAGGGGCCCTGCCTCCAGCCAGGCGATGGAGAGGAATAACCAGTTCACCTGACTGTGTGGATCAGATGGGCTGGTACATCACTCCCATAGGAGTAGAAGGCTCTATTAGATACTGGTGCACAGTGTACCCTGATGTCATCGAAGGGGAGAACCCATTTCTATTTCTGGAGTGATAGGGGGATCCCAACATCTGCCTGCACTGGAGGCTGAAATCAGCCGGACTGGGAAGGACTGGGAGAAGCTCCCCATTGTGACTGGCCTAGGGGCTCCATGTAACCTTTGCACAGAGTATCTCAGGAGAGGGTACTTCAAAGACCCAAAGGCTACTAATGGGCTTTTGGTAGAACTTCCTTGGAGACGGAGGAAGTTAAGCAGCTGTCTGCCTTGTCTGGTCTCTCAGAGGATCCTTCTGTTATGGGGTTGCTGAAGGTCGAAGAACAGCAAGTGCCAATCATGATCACAACAGTGCACCGGCGGCAACATCGCACCAACCGAGACTCCCTGATTCCCATCCATGAGCTGATCCGTAGATTGGAGAGCCAAGAAGTGATCAGCAGGACCTCCTCACCCATATGGCCTGTGTGAAACAGACTATCTATCTTGGCCTGAATGAAGTCACACCACCACTGAGTGCTGCTGTACCAGACATGCTACAGCTTCATTACAAACTGGAGTCAAAAGCAGCCAAGTGGTATGCCACAACTGATATTGATAGCGCATTTTGCTCAATCTCTCTGGCAGCAGAGTGCAGGCTACAGTTCGCTTTTACTTGGAGGGGCATCCAGTACACTTGGAATCGACTGTCCCAGGGTGGAAACGCAGCCCTACCATCTGTCACGGACTGATCCAGACTGCACTGGAACAGGGGCAAGCTCCAGAACACCTGCAATACATTGATGGCATTATTGTGTGGGGCAAAGAAGTTTTTGAGAAAGGGAAGAAAATAATCCAAATCCTTACAAAGGCTGGTTTTGCCATAAAACAAAGAAAGGTTAAAGGGCCTGCACAGGAGATCCAGTTTTGGGGAATAAAATACGAAGACGGGCATCATCAGATCCCCACAGAGGTGATCAATGAGATAACAGCAATGCCTCCATCAACTAGTAAGAAAGAAACACAAGCTTTCTTAGGTGTTCTGGGGTTTTGGAGAATGCACATCACAAAATATAGTCTGGTTGTATCAGAGGGTTGTGCTGATGTTCAGAGGGACTTGGACTTGCTGGAAAAATGCACAGCCAGGAAATACTGGGGCTGACCAGCTGAAAAGCAGTTTGGCAGAGAACAGACCTGCTGATCCTGGTGAGACACCAAGCTGAAGTCCGCAATGCACCCTTGTGGCATGGAGCACCAACAGCATCCTGGGCTACATTAGGAGAAGCATTTCCAGCAGGTAGAGAGAGGTGATTTTTCTCTGGTGAGACTCATCTTGAGTGCTTGTTCCAGTTCTGGGATCTTCAATAGAAGGAAGACACAGACTTCCTAGAGCGAGTCCAGTGAAGGCCCACAAGGATGATTGAAGTGACTGCAGCATCTGACATACAAAGGGAGGCTGCACGAACTGGGACTGCTCAGCCCACAGAAGATTCAGGGGGATCTTACCAGTTATGTAGCCTCCATCCTTGGAGGTATTCAATACCCAACTGAACGTGGTCCTAAGCATCCTGCTCTAGCTGACCCTGCTTTGAGCAGGTTTGGGGACTACACGATCTCTGAAGGTACTTGCCAACCTCACCAGTTCTGTCATTCTCCAGTCTTTTAACTTTACACTGACTCAGTGATAGCAGTCAAGATTTTTCCTCTGTCTACAGGGCTGTCTGAGTGGTGTCGAGGTAACAGCAACAGCAACAGTGACTTCCCTATAGGATTTCATGGCATCTCCTGCTCTTCCTCCTCTGAAGGGAGCTTGTAGCTTTTGGGGTGGGGCTCTTATCATCTGAGAGGTAAAGGATAGTTTCAGTGGTGTTGGGTGTTTTTTCTCAAACAGGAAAGCTCTGCACTGTTTCCTGATGTTGGTTATGCTCTGAAATTTCCAGCTATTTAACAGCTTCCTTCACCTTCCAGTTTAGTAATGCTAGAATTTTTCTTACCCAACGCCTTGCAGATCTGCTCTGTCCTTTAGTTTCCACCTCTGTGTTTATCCTCTCTGGCTTATTAGAAACATGATCATTCTTCTTATTTGGAATATATTCAAGTGCATAAACACACAGTATACTTTAGTGAGTTAGCTTATTTAAGGAAGAAATGGAAGTACTTTGTCCTCCAAAGGACGGGTAATGTCCACTGACAATTGCTTGTCAAATCATAAAAGAGCAAACTATTTGTTTCTTCAAATCCAGTCCACAGAATTTTTGACTCCCCCCCCCCCCCCCCCGGTCTGTTTTATAAATAAATAAATAAGAAACAAAAAAATCATGTGAACAAATGTAGGACTTACGTATGATCCGTAATTCACTGCTAGGGTCTGCAAAGCCCACGGGAGACCTAGGCCAATTAAAATATCAAACACATTGCTTCCGATGGAGTTGGACACAGCCATATCCCCCATACCTGCAGGAATGGAAACCACGCTCAGTCAGACAGGCCCCAGAAAAGTCTTTCAGCTTTTAAACAGAAATACATTCACCTGAGCTAATTGAGACAATTTCCACAGATTAAGGCGAAGAGTCAAGGGAGATCACCCTCACCCCACCTCCTCCCTTTCGCCTTTGCCCTCCCCATCATACAAGTCCAGTGGGGTTCAAGGGGCTGGATCCATCTTCTAGACCATCTGAGAACTTCCTTCAGCTAATTCTCTGCTGCTGTGGGGACCCTGGCAACTGGCTGTGCCAGTTGTGACCTGCCAACACTCTGGTGCCATGCTCAGTGTGGCTCTTGATGCTTTGATGTAACCATGGCACACGAGTTTCTACATTGGACTGATCAGATTAGGTTTTTGGGTAGTCTATTACATAGATGGTTATTCCAAGGAAGAGCCATTGTTTTTGTTCCCCAAAGCAGAACTGACAACTTTCTATTTCTGTTAAAACATCTGGTGCTGGAGTCACTGGGACTGGAGGAACTTTCCTTAAAACCAGTAGTATCTTCCAGTCCTTATGACCGTGAAGAAAAGCTGGAAAGTGACCTGAATGACCCTTATGCCATATTCTAAACAATTCTGTATGGACTGCATTTAAATAAAGAAACACATTGTGACTTCTGGGGAAGGCCTGAAGTTGACAATTGTACTAGAACTTGTTCCACACTATCATTAAGTATCAACATACTATCATTAACTATCATTAATCATTAACTATCATTAAGAACCTGTCAGCTGCTTTTCAACAGCTGAACACTTCCTTTGTTGTTCTTGTTTTAAATTTCTGTGTCAGAAAAGGGCTCTGTATGTTATCACGTTCAGGAGATATCTGTGCAACTTAAAGAGGAAGAGGGCACAAGGAAACACTTCCATAACAGTATGACATCTCTGTGATGAACCTACCTTGCCTTGCTACGATAAGGCTTGCCATGCAGTCTGGCACACTGGTTCCAGCTGCCAAGAAAGTGATACCCATGATCACATCTGGAATTCCCAGTGTGTATCCAATGATTGTCACCTAAGGAGAGGAAATATGCTGTCAAGCTGTTTACAAGAACTAAAGTTAGAGACCAGCTTGGCCCAATTCCTAGTGGGAGAGAGGACGTACATTTAATTTCCTCTTTCCTTTGCCATGCAGTCTATGATGAATTGGCGCCCTTCAAAATGATTAATATTTTTAAATTTGGATGCCCATTTTCTATTAGCCACACTTAATTGCTTTTCTCAGCTCTCTGCAGCACATTCCAAGAAACGTGAACCATATGTTAGAAGCAGCACAGTGACCCTGTGGGCTCTGGTATTTCAGCTATGGAAAGCTGGGATAGCTTTTTTCTTGAAAAATACCTCATCCTCACAGATGAAAAGCAGAAGTAACTTCCCATTTCCTGCTCAGGGTAACAAGTATTATTGAAAACAAAACAGAAACACCTCTTCTGTAACTGCTTTGATTAGTTTGCAGAGAAAAGCCTGGCATTTATTTGTGCATTTAGTACAAGAATGAACTTTGAAGGCAGTGAAGATTTTTTCACTGCCTTTGCCTTCCTAGCAGGAAAGCAGTGGCCAGGGCTTTAGTGAGGCATCTCTATGCTTTTTGGATCCCATGCAGAGACAGATCATGAATTGTGCACTCCATCACAAGTGCAGCAGCACAAAACCAGGCTTTCCTTGCTATACTCTCTCCTGATGCCAATGCCCCATCGTTGTCCAATTCTGCTTAAGAGTAGAGACTGCTCTAAAAGAAACACAATCCATGCTGCAGTACTACTGTAATCCTAATGAGGACAACCTACACTTTTCACCTACATATATCATGTAAGGAGGCCTGAGCCAAGCTAAAAGGCTCAGTGACCCAGCCAGTGCATGAACTCCCCTGTGAAGAGGCCAAATATGTTTGGATTTCCTTGTGCTCACTTTTATTTATCCCCTTCCACCTTCAGGATAGTGAGGTAGAATTCAGTTCCTGTTGACTAGAGTAGTTGTGCAAGAATTTGGCTGATTGTGATGCTTTTGTTCAAAACTTGTGTTTTGTTTGAGTTCAGTGTTATCATTTACTACTCTGTCTTTCAAGCTTGCTTGCTCCAAGAAAATGAAGAGTTATTGAGGCCAGGTTTAGTTGCATCAGGGCCTGTACACTGCCCTGTACAAGAAAGAGGTGTTAAACTGGTGCAAGTGTAATATTTTCCCATCTTAAAAGAATCTGCATGAAATTCCAGACCTGAATAAAATTCAAGGGTTATGGCTACTGGCCTCTAATTTTCTTCTCTGTGAGTGGACTGGTCCAATAGAAACTGAAGCAGACTTAAGGTTTCTCATCTAAAAATTCAGCTATGTAGAACTTTCTACACATTTCTCTAAGCTGATGTCCTCATTCAGCAGTAGCAGTCATTTTGCTCCTTCATAGTAGCTGGTGCAGTGCTGTGTTTTTGACTTTCAGCCTGGGAACAATGCTAGCAACACTGATGTTTTTAGTTGCTGCTCAGTAATGTTTACTCTGACCAAGGACTTTCTCAGTCTCATGCTCTGCCAGGGAAGAGAGGAAGCCGGGAGGAAGCAGTGACAGGACACCTGACCCAAACTAGATAAAGGGGTATTCCATACCACAGCACATCATGCCCAGTACATAAACTGGGGGCAGTTACCCGGCAGGGCTAGATCGCTGCTCAGGTCGGGCTGGGTATCGGATCAGTGGGTTCTCTGCCCTTGTTATTTCCCTTATCATTATCATTATTGGTGGTAGCAGTAGTGGTTTGTGTTATACCTTAGTTACTGGACTGCTCTTATCTCAGCCCATGGGAGCTACATTCTTTCGATTCTCCTCCCCATCCCTCAGGGAGCGAGGGGCGGAAGAAGCAGGGGGAGCGAGCAAGTGGCTGCCTGGTTCTGAGTTAGTGGCTGGATTAAACCACGAGAGCTGACAAAACCACCTTCTGTTGCCTTTTCCAGGCTGCAGTTTCTGCTTTAGTTGGTACATACCATCCACACCATCATGTATGAGAAAGCTGCAATCCAGAGTGTAGAAGAAGCAAAGGTAACCATGAACCATTTTTCCAAGTGGGGTTTGTTGCAGTTGGGCACTGTGAAGTACAGGACAAAACTCAATGGCCATGTGAAAAGCCACTTCAAGATTTCCATCTTGCCAGCTGTAAAACATAAAAAGGGAAACAATCACAATGCTAGTCTGTTTTAGTCCAGAATGTAATTATGTTGTTAACGTTAGCAAGCAAGATGCCAGGGACACTTCAGCTAAACTGCCATCCGAATGACAAGACAAGACATTGCTTGTTTGGAAAATCACGGTGTGATGGCAGAGATGAGAGGACAGAGAGGGGCACAAGGAAGGAGTGTGAAGTGCCTCCCTCACAGCAATGGGTCAAGGGCACATCTACCCTCCCTGGGTCAAGCTCTTACAGGTACCACATAAAAATAGATTCTAGAAAGAGAACTGACCCATCTTCAACCACCTAAGATGGAGCCAGGCCCATCACAGAAATGCACAAGAAAATTTTAAGAGCCAATTGACTCAGCCTGCAATAAGAGGAATTCAGAATAGATGTTACTTTAACTTGCGCATTCTCTTTTTTTTCCTATCATGAGGGTGGTCAAAAACTGGAACAGGTACCCAAAAAGACTCTGGGATCTACACCCTTACAGATAACCAAAACTCAACTGGACACAGCCTTTGGCAACCTGCTCTGAGCAAGGGTTTGAAACAGAGATCTTCAGAGGCCCATGCCAACCCTTCCCATACTATGAATCCAGTGTCATGGTTCCTCATATTTCCACGATTACTGTCTTCAAGTCGCAGTTTTTTTCCTTACTCAAACTACAGGTATGCTGTTTGAGTGAGGAGATCTGGAGGTCCCAAAAACTTATCTCACCTGTAAAGGGCAGGACCAGTCCCTACAGTATTCTGCAACATGGCAGATCTTGCCAGCTCTGGCGACTGTGAGTTCAAGGTAGGACAGGGATACATTATAATCATCCTGGGACTAGAGCCCTGATAGGATAAGAGGAACTTGGCAAAAGGAGATGTCCATCCTGCTGGCGCAGTGCTCAGCAACCTGAAGCACATGTGGTTAGTCACAAGTCATGAAGCTGGTTGGACTTTCTAAGCTCTCCAGAAAGAGCAAGAAGACATTGGCCATGCTTAGTTAACAGCAGGAAGCAGAGGCACTCAGTACCTTCTTCTGTCTCTGCTCCACACCAGCACCACCACTGCCCTGTCTCCATTAGCACTGTACCTTACCACTGAGGTAAGATCACTCCTCATTTCCCAGCAATGGCCCAAATGCAGATGCATCTGACCTGCATTCAAGCACCTTGCAGGTGGCCCCACCATCCTCAGCTTCCTCCGCAGTCAGCAGAGAAGACTGTTCTCTCCAGAGGGTGACCCAGGTTTTGGGGCAGGAACCAACCCATGGAAATTGCCTCTGCCCTCAGACTGCAACAGCAGTGCCAGGGCAATGCATGAGCTGCAGCAAAGGTGTATCCAAGCCCAGCAGTCTGCATCCTGAGAAGTTCCTGCTGCTTCCCAGTTCCTCTCATCTTTTACCTGTGACCAGGAACTACACTGTGAGGTGCAGGCTGATGGGAGCTCTCTGAGACTTCTGCCTCAACACATATCCATGATGCTTTCTGGCACACCCAAATCAAGTTTTGCTTTCTGGAACAACACAAACCCAGAAGCTTCTTACTGGGTAGGTCAAAAGGTGTGTATGGCCCTTCATGGTCATCATCATCATCATCTTCTTCCTCTTCCTCATCGTTTTCGTTGTTGTCGTTATCCTCATTCTCATTCTCGGTCTCATTCCCAGCCTCAGCCATGTCTTCATCCCGCCGTGTGCCATTCACGCCCCGCTCGCCAGAGTTGCTGGGACCTGTTCCATTCTCGACCACATGCTTGATTGGTATTTTGATTGCTACTTCTGACTCGCCATTGGTGTATGTCCTGCTGTTGATCAGCCTTTGCCTCTGTAAACACAGGCACAAATTCTTGCTGAAAAACATATTTTTTTTTACATTTAAAGCACTGGTTGCTTGCAGATGACCAGATAAATTTCACATCTGCAACTTTTATAGGAGAAGGGCCAGTGGCTGTAGAATTGACTTCAGGAATACTCTAAGACCTGGGGCAGACTAAGTGCAGACTCAGTAGAGTACCATATTATTAAGTAAGTGCAAGCGGTATTAATGCCAGATCAACGAAGGGGGCACCTCCTGTGAGCAACAGCCACAGATAACATAACTGTGTAATAACTTGCAACAGTCTCTGGGTCTCTGTTACAATCTGCATGTGGACAGAAAGCAAGGGGTGATCTAGTAAAGTCAGTGTCAGAAGGATAAAAACTGGGAAAATGCTATCAGGGATCCAGAATAAACACCAGAGTTCCATTTTGACCTAAACACTGCTACGGGAAAAAGCAAATTCAGAAGGAGAAAGGGGGAGATAAAAGACATACCTCATTGATCAACATGCGGCTGGCCATGGAGAGACGTGTTTTGGGAGGGAAGTGGCTGGTTATCATGATCCGGAGCCCAGCCTCAGAAAAGGAAAGCTGGTGTGGGTAGGCAGACAGCAGCTCATCCACCATGATCACTGACGCTTTACGGTGGAAGTTTCCTGCAGCCAAGGAACAAAGAGAACTTGAGGTGGTCTTCTAGCAGTCTCCCTCTGCCCTATATGGCTCTCAGAAGAATAAACCTGTGGGTTCCACAGGTCCTTTGTAAAAACCATTCCTTTAGCTACTACCATTCAAATTACGTCTCCCCTGTCCTCAATTTCTGCCTTTACGTGGCCTACGTTTCTGTTCTTAGACCAATCACCGATACGGTGTCTCCACTCATGCCCATTACAGAAAATTAAATCTGCTCTGCACAGCTCATTACAGGCCTGCGTTAGGCAGATTGCCACTTCCAAGCAGCTACTCCACCAAGGTAGAAATGGTGCTAGGAAAAGCTGCATTAATTCCACTGTTACAGTCTGCACTCCCGTGAGGATACTGGCCTCACCCACCATTAACTGTACACAGGGGTGAGGAAATTGTCCCTGGGAGGTACTAATGCAAATGAAAAGCAGGTTCCTGCATCCTGGGCTTGCAGCTCGTGGCTGGGAAGTGCCATCAAACCTGGCAGCAAGTGCATGTGGCAGTCCCTGGAGTGTGACCCATCGTGCAGGAGCAAAGACACAAGGAGGCAGGGCTCACTACCTGGACTGAGCTCCAACTGGGGCACAGTGCCAGTGTGCATCCTGTCTGTGCATGGATGCTGCCTCTGACTGTGAACTCTGGGCCAGGACTGTGACTTGGCAGCAGGGAGACCAGAGGTCTTCCCTGACTCATCTCTGCTTCGGTTTATGAAAATCAGTGCTGAACACTGGCAACTGTTTCATGGCATTACTATTTACTACCATCACTGTTACTCTTACAGAAGAGTATCTCCTAGGCCTTAGTGTCACTTGTTTTTCCTGACAGAGAAGGTTCATGGATTGGGATAGATAAGTGCGGTCACTCCTATTAAAAAAAAATAAAAATCAAACCAGCCAGACAGCTTTTTCTTGTGACCCTTTCCACGCTGGAATTTTCTGCACAGCCCCTGAAGGACCTGCCCCGAACACAGAAATCCCACCGGCTGATCCTTTTTGGTCCTCTTTTCAGAAAAGGCCTCAGAAAAATGGTAGCATATGAAAACCTCAGCAACCTGCTGCAATGGGTACTGCTGTGACCCCATATACCAGCTGTGAGCACAGCGGTGCCATGTGCCTGGCCAGACCTCCGGTGGCCCACTGCCAAGGAAATACAGGAACAAACTGCAGGAAAATGAAGCAATTCCTTCATCTTCCTTCCTCAGCCAGTTTGAGCAACCGCAGATGTCCAAAACCGAAAGTCACCAGCAGCTGAGCAGCGTCACACAGAGAGATCCTGGGGAGATTCACACCAAACCCCAGTCAGAACCGCCTCGTTTGTGCATAACCCAGAGGCCAGTGGGTAAACCTGGCCTGAGTTCATGCTTACTGAGTTTTACCAGCCTCGCTTTACTGGTACAGTGTGAAGTCATCTGGTCAGCACAGTTTTGCTATTCAGAGCCCCAGGCTACAGAGAGCTGTAGTTCGCATAAAAGCAGCTTCCCCAGATCAGAGCGTGCAGCACTCACAAAAGCCTTTCCTCGGCAACAGGGTAGTAACATGACAGCTGGCCTCTGGTAGACTCAAAGGGTTTGACATCAGTAAATAAACCTCTCTACATTTCATGTTTGGTTGCGTAGTGCGTTCAAACTGTCTTTCACTCACTCTTCGCAGGAAGAGAGGCCTGTGTTTGTTTAGGCTTCGTTTTTTTTTCAGTCCAGCAAAACAAAAAGGGCAGCCCATCTGCAGCCAGCGACCAGGACCGCTTTGGACAAGCCAGAGCTCCTTCTCAGGGTATCACAGTATCACAGTATGCTAGAGATTGGAAGGGACCTCGAAAGATCATCTAGTCCAATCCCCCTGCCGGAGCAGGAACACCTAGATAAGGTTACACAGGAATGTGTCCAGGCGGGTTTTGAATGTGTCCAGGGAAGGAGACTCCACAACCTCCCTGGGCAGCCTGTTCCAGTGTTCCGTCACCCTCACTGAGAAGAAGTTTCTTCTCAAGTTTAAGTGGAACCTCTTGTGCTCCAGTTTGTACCCATTACCCCTTGTCCTATCATTGTTTGCCACTGAGTAGAGCCTGGCTCCATCCTCGTGACACTCCCCCTTTATATATTTATAGACACTTATAAGGTCACCCCTCAGTCTCCTCTTCTCCAAACTATAGAGCCCCAGCTCCCTCAGTCTTTCCTCATAAGGGAGATGCTCCACTCCCTTAATCATCTTTGTTGCCCTGCGCTGGACTCTCTCCAGCAGCTCCCTGTCCTTCTTGAACTGAGGGGCCCAAAAACCAGTGTCTGGGTGGGGTGATGTTATTCCCGAGCATAGGAACATGTAAATCCCAAGCAGTTACATGCTTGTTGACTGTTGCACAGATAAAATAATTATCGTCTGTAAGCACAGTTTATACATGCTTGCAAACGCACACACTGAGCTACTGCTGCCGAGTACAGAGTGGGGGATGCTGTTTTCTTTAAGCTGAAGAAATACAATCTGTACATCATTTTCATACACAATTGTGACTGAAGGCAAATGGAAGCAAATTTCACCCAAAGTGAAACCCACATTAAAGATCATGGAAAAGCTGTGAACTTTTAAAACGGCACGTGCAGTAAGAGCACACCACCTTGACCATCACAGTTTTCACCCTGCCTTCGCCGGGGGGAATGTGTACACCAGTATAAGCAGGGTGTTTTTCCCTGCTCAGTTTATGTTGCTTTCAAATGGAGCTAAATTAACTGAGGCACTAGGGGTAAATGGGCATCTTCAGTGCAGAATAACAGTGCTCACAAGAAGACTCACAATGGCATGGCTATAAGGATCTAAAGAAGCAGACCCTAGGCAAGTCAGGCTTGAAGCTGGAGGAGTCCTTTCAGCCAGGCACTTCTCCAGTGCTAGAAATCACCCAGAGGAGGCCTGAGCTGCTTCCAGGATGTGGTCACTGGGTGACCACACTGCACCCCCAGGCACAGGAGCCATGGCCATCTGGCGGGGGCATTACAGAAGGACCCTGCCTGTTCCATGGCTGGTAAGACAGCAGCAGCCCACACCCCGTGACTAGCAGACGAACGTGTAAACATTTGAGAATGATGCAAGCGAGCAGGGTGACTTACTGGAACAGTTACCTTTCTTTAGTAACACCACTGTGGCATCGCAGTTGCTGTTATCATCCATTTCTGTGTTATTTGCTAAACCATTCACCATATTTGCCGAGTTCTTTGTCTTCCTTTCAAAGCAGTGATGTATGGTTGAGTTGTACCTGTACAAATGAAACAAACTCCATATAGACTTTTGCTGCTTCTGTGTGCATTTCTTGACAACCTTCTTTTCCTAGGCTTATATACAGTGCGATTCAGCTATGGAAGGGAAGAAAATCCCTTTGGTTCGGAATCCAGCCACAATACGGCTATGATGCAATTTCTCCACACCCAGAAGGCTATGAAAAATACAAGACAGGAATCTGGAATGACATGCATGCTTATGTGCTATGTGTAATTAACATTCTGTATAGCAAATAAGGATTACTTGTCATCATCCACATTTTTGTTTTTAATCACACAGTCACACTGAGCTCGAGCGTTGTTTTACCTGTGATCCACCACAGGAACAAGACACATGCTAAGCTCTGCTTCCATTTTGGGGTGAAAAAAATTAAAGTAATTTCTTATTGGATTTCGAGTAGCCAGCAGCTGACAGGAACATGAGCCATGATCTCACCACGACACTCAAAGGCAATGGTAGACCACTGTGAACACCTGGACGACAGGCCAACAACCACCCTAGCTATGCCCAAACAGGTCTGAAACATCTGCTCACACTACAGCATTGCTTTCAGAAAAAGAATCCATTCTTGATTCAGACATTACAACTGGTTTGCTCATCCATTCATTGCTGCAAGGGTGAAGCTACCCTCCAGGTTAAAGAAAAAGTTTCTAGTTACAAGAAGTGAGATGAATTCTGCCTCGTGTTCCCTTCAACCCAGCCTGGGTGTTTTGCTGTTCTTACTGAGAATTGCTCTCACAATATTTACTTTATTCATAATTTCAAAACAAATCTCAACTCTGACTTGTTGAGACAAGGCCACTGGTGTGCTTGGCAGACAGTAGGTTTTGTTGAATGTTCCAGTTTAAATTTGGGCTTCCTTTCCACTGGCTTTTAAAACCAAGGCAGGAGGTGGGGAACCTAACAGCAGAGCAGATTAACTTTGCTAGCATGGATTTGTGTGAAAGAAGTTACACAGGTCAGATGCTCAGAAAACCAATGCTGATTGTGCTGCAGTTTTACCGTGGGTCTCCCTGAAAGCAAGAACAAATTGTGTGGTGGTCTGCATCCATAAAGAGTAGACTGGAATCCCCCACGGTTTTATTTCTGAGGAGGCATGTTAAAGCGAAATCAGAAGCGGCTGCTTTGGGGGCACCCAGAGGTGGATTCGGTTCCCTGCTCTGCCACAGGCTTGCTGCATTAGCTTTGGTCGGCTCACACAGGCAAGAGCCGCAAAGCACAGTATCGTTTGGGGAGGAAAAGACCTTTAAGATCATCAAGTCTGACCCTTAACCCTGCACTGCCAAGGCCACCACTAAACCATGTTCCTGAGTGCCACATCTACATGTCTTTTAAATATGTCCAGGGACAGTGGCTCCAGCACTGCCCTGGGCAGCCTGTTCCAATACTTGATCACCCTTTTGGTGAAGAAGTTGTTTCTAATCTCCAGTCTAAACCTCACCTCCCACACCTTGAGGCCATTTCCTTTTGTTCTAACACTTATTACTTGGAAAAAGAGGCTGACCCCACCTCACTACAGGTACTTTCAGGCCATTGTAGAGAGTGATAAGGTTCCCTCTGAGCCTTCTCTTCTCCAGACTGAACCCGCCAGGTCCCACAGCCATTCCCCATCATACTTGTGCTCCAGGCCCTGCACCAGCTCCATTGCCCATCTCTGGCCCTGCTCCAGTACCTCAATGTCCCAGAACTGAACACAGGATTTGAGGTGCAGCCTCACCAGTGCCCAGCACATGGGGACGAACACTGCCCTGGCCCTGCTGCCGCACTGGGGCTGATACAGGCTAGGATGCTGGGGGCTTCTTGGCTGCCTGGGAACAAGCTGCTCATGTTCAGCTGCCCGTTGACTACCACCCCAGGTCCTTTTTCACAAGCAGCTTTCCAGTCGCTCTGCCTGAAGCATTGCTGATAAATGATGGGAAGTGGCTTGGGGAGCACTTCCACCAGCTCCCTCAGCACCCCTGGGTGAATCCCACCTAGCCCCATAGACTTGTGTGTGTTTAACAGATATAGCAGGTCACTGACCATTTCCCACCTATGTCATAGTTTTCCTGCTGTACAGTAGCTTCCAGCTCCTGTCTGTTGCCAGAGCTGCATGCACTGGTGTAGGCCTTCAGATGCCCAGTCCTTGGAGCTGTACTATGGGGACAAACAGCCCCTTCCTTCCTCACCAGGATAAATTAGAGATAACTACATGGCAGGGCAAAGTGCTTTAACCTCTGCTATTGGAGGTGCTGCTGGTGTGCAAGCTGCATGAGCCAATGGAATGCCCTGCCCAAAGCCTGCGGCTCTCTTTAATTACCTCTGGAACCTTTGGAAAAGCTCTGGAGCAGGGAGCCTCACAACCTAACAAGCGGAGGGTGCATTTGACTTACTTCATGATAACGATGTAGATGACATACATCAGCACCAAGACTAAGGACTCCCACCTGCAAACAAGAGCGACACAGAAAACACATCAGCGCAGGGCACATCACTCAGCTGCCCAAGTTCACCCATTCCCCCATCTGTCACACCAAGGCTTGACCCTCTGGGGCTGTCTTAACACACTACTAGAAAAGGGGATGTATAAGGAGATAGCTCACACACACCTGTGTGACGTCTCCTTTGTCTTCTTGACTTCTGCTCTAGTTTTACTTGGCCAAGTCAACCTGTCAGCTAAGAACAAGTGACCCAACCCAGAAGTTCAGTGAACAAATCACACATCTCAGGAACACAAACATTTCTGTAAGGGCAATACCTGTGGGCGCTGTGGCAGAAGAGGGGAGAAGTCATCCTGCCCTGCCTGCATTGGTGTAAAGCAGGTTGTCGGGCTTTTGGGGCATGCTTAAGCACACTGCTCATGCTGAGACACAGTGAACAAGTGCTGGCTGCTCTTTCACTATTGCTGCTGTGTACCCACTGAGAACGCAGCAGGCAGCAGTTTAAGTGCTGATTAGATACTGGTGGGTTTTCCTCCACTGTTTCTGTGTCAAACTAATGAAATGTATATGAAAAAAAAAATACAGTATGACTTTTAGAACTTGTTTCTAGGTAATCTTTTTCATTGATCAAAATGCTGTATTCTGTACAGTTCCTTAGGGCTAACTGCTAGTCCTGGTGGAAATCATCCGCTATCAGACTGCTATATACTAAAACTCATGGGCCATTTTCTCTTTAAGGATTTTGAGACACTGCACTAAACTTTCAGCTTTCACATTGATGTGTTTTAGTTGAAGGGCACAGTCAACTACAATTGGACCTCAAGTCAATTTTAGTTAAGAAACAAAAACAAAGCAAAGGAAAACAGGCAGTTGCAAAACTCTGCTTCAGAAACGCTCCTCTGAAAGGAAACAATCCCTGGCGAGACCACGTTTAAGAAAACACGCAACCCCAAAAGCCTGACTCCCCCTAGTGCTTGCAATCTAAGTTATACTGGCCAAGAGTGGAATCAAAGCTGTCACTGTTACTGTACAAGCCCTTAGAGGTGCTGCAAACAAAACCATGTAAGCAAAACAACCGGAAGCACACTTCTGAAAGTGTTTGAAGCCCTCCAAGCCTACCATACCTACTGCAGAACATTTAAGCACATTCATGGGGATATTAACATACATGCATTTCTTTATTTAAACTGGTCATTTGCTCATTAATATTGCCTTTGGAGTTATTATTAAAAATCCAACTCCTGGAACACATTCGCTGACTGCTCGGGCAGCTCTGTATATTCCCAGGTGCCTGACATCCATGGCACACTGCACCCAAGCATCAGCCTCCGCCTCTGCATTCCTGGGCTGCTGCAGGGTGGGCAGAGGGCACCAACTGCCACCACTGCACCGGGAATCCTGAGTGACGTGCACCCAGGCTTTCCTCTCTGGCTCAGAAAATGAATCATTCTGGCCCATCCTGTGCCGAGGTTTCTCATGCAGCAGGAAACTGCTCCCTGAATCACCCTGCAGAGCTTTTCAGCTTCCCCCTCCTCTCCTGATGAGCCCTCCTTATTGCAGGGTTTTGTGGCACAACCAGAAATAAGACAAGAAAAGGGATTCACTTACCAGGAAACCTTTTCGTCATAAATAAACTGTGGAGAAAAGGTTTAAGAACAGGCATGTTATATACAAAATCACAGCTGAGAACAGCTCATCACCCGAGCAGGGGACAGAGCAGGCAGAGCAACCAAGGGCTCAGGGCAATGGGATCATGCTCTGCTCTAGTTTGGTACTGCCCTCCTGCCCAGCCCTTAGCTCCTCTCACCCACCAAAGGCAGGCAGGGTCTCCCTCCCAAACCCCAGGAGGTCCCTGTGGATCTGGGGCTACTGCAGCAGGGATGCAGAAGGGAGCGAGGGAAGGACGGCACCTCTGACCCACGGGCCGGTCTCACTGACACGGGCTCCTTCCCAGACCTGCTCCCGGTGGTGACCGGGCACTCAGCACACAAACGTACCAGCGGCTCCAGAGCTGCTCTGACACATCCCTGCCTCAAACGGCCCCGCACTGACTTCCTGACACTGACTGACCCCTGCCCCACACCCCTCACACTGACTGACCCCTGCCCCACACCCCTCACACTGACTGACCCCTGCCCCACACCCCTCACACTGACTGACCCCTGCCCCACACTCCTCACACTGACTGACCCCTGCCCCACACTCCTCACACTGACTGACCCCTGCCCCACACTCCTCACACTGACTGACCCCTGCCCCACACTCCTCACACTGACTGACCCCTGCCCCACACTCCTCATGCACACTGACTGACCCCTGCCCCACACCCCTCACACTGACTGACCCCTGCCCCACACTCCTCACACACACTGACTGACCCCTGCCCCACACTCCTCACACTGACTGACCCCTGCCCCACACTCCTCACACTGACTGACCCCTGCCCCACACTCCTCACGCACGCTGACTGATCGCTGGACCCGCACTGTGGACTGTACAGCCCTGCCAGCGCAGCGTGGTGAGGGGGCTGCCCCACCGCGCCTGGCTCCCGGGGGCTCCAGAACCAGATGTTGGGATGTGACCGGCAGGTGGCCGCAGTACTCCACAGCTGGGCCCTTCTCAGCCCGCCCTCCATCACCATCACCATCACCGGCCATGCTGGGAGCAGGGGGGCTGCCACCCCCCTTCCGGCAGCACCCCTCTCCCCCCACGCCTCCTTCCCCCTCAGACGGTCAGAGAATCACGGAACAGAATCATGGAATCGTTCCGGTTGAAGGGACCTCAAAGCTCCTCCAGCTCCAACCCCTGCCACGGGCAGGGACCCCTTCCACTGGAGCAGCTTGCTCCAAGCCCCTGTGTCCAACCTGGCCTTGAACACTGCCAGGGATGGGGCAGCCGCAGCTTCTCTGGGCACCCTGTGCCAGCGCCTCAGCACCCTCACAGGGAAGAGCTTCTGCCTAAGAGCTCAGCTCAGTCTCCCCTCGGGCAGGTTCAAGCCATTCCCCTGTCTTGGGATTCTATGATTCTATGAAAGGGAGTGAGCCTCTGAAAGCACAGTGAAACACGTCCCGTCAGGTCTGTAGCCTGCAAGTAGCAACTTCTACATGGCAGCCAGCACCAAGCAATCGTTACATTGATCAAAGGAGGTGATCCTGCCCCTCTGCTCTGCTCTCGTGAGACCTCACCTGGAGCATTGTGCGCAGTTCTGGTGTCCTCAGCATAAAAAGGACATGGAACTGTTGGAACAAGTCCAGAGGAGGCCACGAGGATGATCAGGGGCTGCCTGGAGAAGAGAAGGCTGCATGGAGACCTCACAGCAGCCTTCCAGTATCTGAAGGGGGCTACAAGGATGCTGGGGAGGGACTCTTCATGAGGGCCTGTAGTGACAGGACAAGGGGTGACGGGTTAAAACTTAAACAGGGGAAGTTTAGATTGGATATAAGGAGGAAATTCTTTCCTCTTAGGGTGCTGAGGCACTGGAATGGGTTGCTCAAGGAAGCTGTGAATGCTCCATCCCTGGCGGCGTTCAAGGCCAGGTTGGACAGAGCCTTGGGTGCTATGGTTTAGTGTGAGGCGTCCCTGCCTATGGCAGGGCGGTTGGAACTGGATGATCTTAAGGTCCTTTCCAACCCTGACTGTTCTGTGATTCTATGATCACTGGAAGAAAACATGACCACAAAATACTGTAAGTTACAGCTCCCAGTCAGTCTGATCTAATCTGACAAGGCCTGTTTTGGGTTACACTCTGCCGGTGTGATGGGACACGAAAGCGTGTGTGTTGACCTTTGTAACCATAAATAGCATCCATCACACTTTTGTCCCTAATGACTCTGACCACGTCCCTTCATGTTAGGATACATAAGCATCATTTTCCTTTCGAGGGAAAGAAGGAGTAGCAGCCCTCTAAGCCCTACAGCAAGGCAAGGCAGCACTGCAATATTGTTTTAAAGTTAAAATAAAATAAAATATCAGAGGGCTGAATGAAGGTGAGGTAAGTGTGGAGGGTGCAGCTGAGCCACTTCTCATCTCTGTGATTTAGAGTTCACTCATTCTTATCAAACAGCCTGGTGAATTTGTACTGCTCTGCTATTTATTACTACAGCCCTGCAATTCCTTTGCCAGGGGAAACAGAAGGTGACAAAGTCACAGTGATTGATCCAGCGGAATATCAAGCTTTTTAAAGTTCCTGAATCTCAACATTGGCTGGAATGTATTTATTTCCCCGTAGGTGTATTTATGATTAGGAAAGACGCCAGTGGAGTGCACTCTACACTGCAGCAACACAAACTGCTTTTTAAAGTAGTGTGAGAGCAACCTTCTACAAGCAGCATCATTCCTCAAGAAATGATTGTATTCAAGCTGCAGAGAAGTCTCAGTGCCCTGATATGGCAAAACATCCCTAGATGGCAAAGCATTTAAGCACCTTCTAAAATTTAAGGCGCACAGAAACCTAACAAAGCAGGAACAGATGCAGGTTGTGCAACACAGTACATGGAGCCGGTGGCTTGTCTCCAGGCTGAGCCACCAGGGACTGGAGAGTCAGTATTTGAATGACAATGTGCTGCCACCTAAATTTGATTCTGCCTTAAAAGGACAGGAAAGATCCTGAAGCCAGGGGTCCTCTGGTGAGTGATGGGGAGGAGAAACTTCTTAAACTGAAGCCTTATTTGAAAGGAGAAATCCTCATTTTCTATCAAATGGAGAGCAGTATTGCGTTGAAAAGGGTTGGTAAATCAGCTGGAAGCTACACTTTTAACCATTTTACATGCTTTCCCTTGCTCCAGCCTTTCTCTGTTTTTTCTCTAGCAGGTATTTGGAAGTCATTTGCAATGACTGCTGTGGAGTAAGGCTGAAGAGATGTGGGATGCACTCCACATCTCCCAAGCCGCATCAGCTGCCCATCAGTGCTCTAACACAGGAGTTCTGGCAACACCTTCAAGCCTCCAGTAAACCCTGGAGTTGCACAGTCCTGCTGCCCTGGCTGCATGAAGGACCTTGAACCTCACAGCTGATAGGAGCAGAAGAGTGGGGAAACATCTGGAGAGAAGCCAACCTGAGACTTAGGGTAGACTCCCAACAGAAGACAACAACTGGGAATGGTTCTCAACATGCTGAAGCAGCTGACAACCATGAGGAGGAACCGGCCCTGGAAAAAACCTGCCTTGCTTAAAGAATGTAAGACCCAGTGACAGCCAACAGGTCTTCACCTTGTCTGCCACCAAGCAATAAATGGAACGCCTGACCTAAACCCCAGAGGGCTGCCAGGCAGCTGCCCACATCTGTGCTGCCTGCGGAGCAAACTAGGAGAACGCCTGCCAGATGTGTTTAACCTGTGCAATGCAGTTTATTATGGTGTGTGGGTGTGCCCAAGTTTGCTGTTCAGCAACACTTGTTGGTATGAGGGCACACAGAAAAGTTATTTTTTATCGGATGCAAAAAGGTTCATCTTGCAGTAAAGGGAATAAAGATACAAACGTGTTGAGACAAACCCTTTGCTTGAGACAGCTAGAGGCCTTTGCACCAACAGAGCAGGTATGGCATACAGGCCCGTGCAGGATGAAGGCAAAATCAAACACATTGTTGAAACGGTGACTAATGAAAGTAGTGCAAACTTCAGAAATGCAAGCGTTTGTCTCCTGACCCTAAAGCTCCCTTCCTGCTGACATATAGAAGTCAACCTGACAAGTACATTTTTCCATGAGTCCTGGGGCTAGGATCTTAGGTACAAGATCCATTTCTTAGCAGGTTCCCTTTACGGGTGGCAATAGGCACGGGGGCTCCCACAGAAGAATAACTTTGAGAAACTTACCACAATGAGTGCAACGACAGACAGTGTGTAGTAGATTGAATCTCTCAAGAGACTCCATGACGACAGCGCAACGACCTGAGAAAAGAGGCAAAGAGAGGGTGTCAGCCAGGCCCTCAGCCGCGGCCGCCACGCTGGCAGCGTGTGCCCAAGCAACGCTGTTGTGTTGTCCCGCGTAAGCTGCCCGCACACGTGCTAGGACGCGAAGAGCAGCCCCAAGCCCAGAAACGCACCGGCTTGAACAACGGGCAGCAAGGAGAGGGGGGGATGGCCCAGTCCGAGGGGTAAGAGGTGCAAGGTCATGGGCAGCAGGGGGCTTCCACTGCAAAGCTGCCAACACACTAAATCACACCAGCGCTGTCAAAACCATGGAAGCGGGAATTGAGCCCCAAGTATTCAGGGATGACAGAGGAGTCTCCCACGAGCTCAGCTACCTGACGTCCTTTTCCCCCTGAAACGCTCCCCCATACACACACAGAGCCTGCACAGCAGTCCCTGCAGGCTGAGCTGGCCACAGGTCTGGTCAGAGGCAGGCACAGGGTGACCTGCCACAGAGGAGGCTGGGGGAGCTGCTGCTGCCCGGGCAGTGGGAAGGGCTCAGCTCACCCACAGGCCTGTTCTGGGCCAGCGCTGACACTCAGCAACAAGCATCCTGTGGGTAATGGTCACAGGAGATACCAGCCCTGTCAGCTCCCATCTGCTTCTTGTATTAATTATCCCCAACCAACCCAAACACTGAGCAAGAGTGCAAGGTGTGCAGTGACCCAGCAGGCAGGGTCCTCCCCATCACTGCCTTACCACCACATGCCTATGTCCACCCCAAGTCCAGCTACTGGCATCCATGCGCTGGGTTTCCAAGATACTTAGAATGCTGGATGATGGGGTTGTCCTTCCTAAAAATGTCAACTTGACCCATGCTGACTCATTCAGGAGAGGATTACTTAAGCAACAGAAGCTGCACTGCAAAACAGTCTGACAGCACAGAGCAGCCAGATCCCCAACACTCTAGGTATTACCAGAACGTCAGCAAAGCCATGGCTTCACCCACTGCACTGACAGGTATCACTACGGTTTTGTGTGCATTTGCACAGGCTCTGGGACAAATACTCAAGTTAACACTCTAGCAAAGCATTAAGAACAAACCCCAGGTATTTACATGCAACTGAAGATAAGATGGGACTGCTGTGCAGCTCACTTGACACCTTCCAAAGCTGGCGGGGACAAAAGCAGGGAGTAAGCTCTGTGATCCTGAGTTACTGGCTGGGCTTAAACCACAACAGCCACAGAAACGAGGAGGAATCCCTGCTGTAGGCTGAATGTGCCTGCAATTCAGCTCTCAGAGAAAAGAAACACCAGTGAGGAAGCCAGCCTTCAACTTCATCAGTGGTATGCAAAAGGGCAGATGAAGAGCAGGAACGCGGTGGTAACATCTTCAGCATGATTGTGGTTTTTTACAGCCCTAGGAAGTCCCCCGAGTGGAAGCTTCCCCTCAAATGTTTATCTCCCATTTCCAGAGTGCATTTCAAACCCTGTGGGTCACATCCTTCACAGGTGTAAACCGCAGGGAGGTAGGTGGCCCATTTACACTCATTTGGATCTGGCCCCTGAAGGTATATGTGAATTTTCTGACCACATCTTCCAGCCATCCTCGTGCATGAATCCAGACAAACAAACAGTAATCTGATTTTCATTTCTATGATAGCTAAAGAAAGGTCCTATTTAAAAACTAATTTTGTGGATTTCTCTGCATATTACCTCTTACAATACTGTGGGTTTTTTTCAGAACTGCTGGCAAAACAAACACTGTAAAAACATACTGACCATTATACTTAGGTCTCTGCAGCTTTTTCAAACTATGGCTTTTTAAAGTGGATGCTATTTATGCCCAGTGTAAAGGCTCTTTATGCAACCATTCACATGTAAAAAGCTCCTATCTAAAATAGAAAAACAGGCCTTTAAAGTCCTTGCGTCAGATTAGATACATACCAGCTGACAATACATTCAGTGCATGTAGGGACAGATGAATAGAGATGCTTTATGAAAGAAACTTCCAAATGCAGAAACCCAGATTGGGGTTCATAATTCTATTCAGAGATCCTTAATTAAATTTCACATCTTATACATACTGGGCCCTTCATTTTGATTGATTTGTAAGAGAGTTTATAAAATTATAAAATTATTCCACTCTTACGCAGCTTTTATGATGCAGCTTAAGGTCATGTGCACAGCATGGATGCTGGTGGGGATTTTATAGCTGTAAACTTGAGTTCTGCATAATAAAAATTACATTTCTGAAACAAATAACAAACCCCATATGAACAGGCAACTGCTGCTATTCTACCTAACGAACTCTCTCCTGAGTATAAGGGGTGTCACCATGCAGCACAGAATACCTCTGAAAGCAAGATGTCCTAGTTACTGTGAGTCAAACCAGTATCTCTCCTGCTGTCTGATATTCTACAGTGATTTTGAAGGGAATTTTCCTCAGACACCTGAATGAACACACAAGAGATCCAGATGCTTAAACGCATCTATTTAGCAGGAACCTCATGCACAAGTGTCACAGACCAAGATGCTGTGGGAACCACAAGGATTCTGATTTCAGATGGGATTGCAGGGAACATGGTTGTGCCTAGGACTTGTACAGGCTGCTCACATTTCACAGCCCTAGTAGGTCTCCCCGACACAGTAACTATGGGGCAATTAAATCTCAGCCCTTCTTAGGATGCGAGCCGCTGAATGGAAGTCTTTGAATCATTTGATCACTGGGAAGAACAATCTGATACAGGAAAGCTGTGCACAAAAGGTAACTGCGCACCAAGGGTAAAAGCAGCAATCAGCACTGAGGGCAATGGCAGTACTTTCAGCCTGCTGACAAGAACCGTGCAGCCTGGTTATGACTAGTAAGACCTTCAGTGCCTAAGTTGTGCCATATAGTTTTGCAGCAACCAAGGACTCCACAAAAATCTTAATGCACTGGAAACCACTTCAATTATGTTTTAGCAGACTAAGGCAGAAAGGAAATCAGGGATGCAATCAGCCTGGGTGAAAACATGACCAAATTTGAGTTTTAAATCAGCAACACTGTGATCCAGAAGAGCTGGTCCTTTCGGAGCCAGGCATAAGGAGGCAGCTGTAAAACCACTGACTGTCAGGTTACACGTTTCCTCTGTTCAAAGAAAGTACCTGAAATACAAACTCTCACCAAGTGCCTTCAGCCCTCTCCTGACTAATACAGTAGGGACCGAACCCAGCTTTCCCCAGAGCTGAAAGGAAGAGCTCTTTAATCCAGGCTTACATGACATCAACCCCCAACAAGTCCAACACAGATGAGGACCCACAGTGCATGCCCATCTGCATGCCACAGCATCATTCGTATGGGTAAAACAACCTGTATTAGACATTTGGTTTCTCATCAGTAAACTTTTGCCCTGCAAACTCTTATGTAGAACATTTACTACTCAGAATGCTTATTTCCCTTTCTAAAGGGCTGGAGAGCAGAGAAATCAAGATTTTATCAGTTTCAGCTTGATTCCTGTGGTTCTCAACTCCTGCAGCAGCAGCCCCATGCAGCACACACAGTCTCCTCCACCTAACACATACATGCTGGTAAGCCACCAGGGAGAAAATCACTGAAAATCAGACACTGGCACCTGCAGCTCTTGGTACCAAAATTAGCTCAGTGGCAATATACCCATGCCCGATCCTAGGGTTTCACCATTTATCCTCTATAAAATTGACCCTTCTCTCTTCCACTCTTCCAAATGCTTCATCTTCCTTAGCAGTGTGGAAACTCTTCTGCTGTCATGAAGCCTCTGTCATGGCCTCCCATGGAGCTGGCTGTTTTAAAGCCTAATACTCACCTGCTCTCCCCATTATGGTGATGGGCCTCAGATGAAGCATGTGAAGCAGAACATGGCTGCTGCTGCTGCCCTCATAAAGATGTTTGTGCTGCTGCTGCTAGCAAAGGCATGGGGCAGTCCACAGGATATGGACTGCTGGATATTTTCTCTGTTCAACTTTCCAGAGGAAACATTCTGAACATTGCCTAAGTACATCCAGGCTCTTCAGGGGTCTTTCTCACTCTGAATTGCTCCAGAGCTTTTCCTCCTCTCATGGCCTGTTGTGATCAGCTATGAATGCTGCCAGGAAATGCTAGGCTTTGGAAGCAGTCTTCCTAATCTTGTTTCTCTGTTACCCTCTGGCACAGAGGTCTGGATTTTCAGGTATTAAGAGCTAATAACTTAATTTGTTAATGTGGAGAGACGGGAATGCTTGGGCAAGGGTGTCAAAGGATTAAGGTCAATCCCTGTGGTGATTAGCCTTAAGAGTCTACGGAGATCAACAGAAATGTACTGACAGTGAACCCACCGCTTAGTGCCTCACAGCTGATGCATCTCCCACCCAGCTGATGTGCAGTGCTGGCTCCTCGTGAGCAGTTTGATTCACTGATGTTAGATCTTTACAGAGAGGTACCAGATCTCATCTTGAAGAGGGTGGGAAAATGAAACTCAGCAGCACTTCACTTCCTCGTGGATTGCAGAATTCAGTCCCCAGCAAAGCCCTGGTTTTACCTCCCACCACTGTCGTGGTTTAAACCCAGTCAGGTAACTCGTTCACTCACTCCCCCCCTTCCTTCCCTCCCCCTACTCCCAGAGGGACGGAGAGGAGAATCGAAAAAAATGCAACTCCCACGGGTTGAGATAAGAACAGTTTAGTAATAAGGTGTAACACAAATCACTACTGCTACCACCAATGATAATAATGATAAAGGAAATAACAAGGGAAGAGAATACATCATCTCACCACCAGCCGACCGATAACTCGCCCCCCAAGCCCAACCAAGCTCTGACCGATACCTCCTCCAACCCTGCAGTCTCTCAGCCCTTCCGGCTAACTCCCAGTTGCATCCCAGGCATGACGTGCTGTGGTATGGAATACCTCTTTGGTCAGTTTGGGTCAGGTGTCCTGTCTCTGCTTCCTCCTGGCTTCCCCTCCTCCCTGGCAGAGCATGAGGCTCACAAAGTCCTTGGCCAAACCAAAACATCGCTATCAGCTCTGTTCCCAGGCAGAAAGTC